GCAATCAACAAAACAGAAGGTAGTTGCTTTGTCTTCCTGTGAAGCAGAATACATCGCCGCTTCGATGGCAGCAACACAAGGGATCTGGCTTGCGCGACTAATGGAAGAACTCATCGGGAGAGAAAGTGATCCACCAATGCTATACGTAGACAACAAAGCTACGATCTCCCTGATCAAAAATCCAGTTTTGCATGAACGAAGCAAGCACATAGAAATCAGGTTCCACTACATTCGAGAATGTGCAGATCGAGGGCTCATCAAAATTGATTACATCCGAACAGAGGAACAACTTGGAGACATCTTCACCAAGTCCCTTGCGCGGGTGAAATTTGAAGAACTACGCTCAAAGATCGGAGTTCAAATAGTAAGGTAGATATACTACAGGTTTTAGGAGGAGATTGTTAGATAAAACCTGAGTTTTACCGTTGTTATTCACACGATTTCAGAAAATCGTGAGGTTGACCATTTGACAAATCACGTCGAATGGATCACCAGAGTTTTAGAAGGGAGTGGCACAGATTTAGTTGGCCACTCTCCAAGCCAATTTTAGAATTCCTTTTTTACTTTAAATAGGAGAATTGTTCAGAAAACAAAACAACCTCAACGCAGTCAAATTCAGAGTTATTTTTTCTCTCTCCTTTTTGTTACGCATTTTCTGAATTTCCTCTCACCGAAATTCTGTGAAAACCAACAAGAATTAAGTCGCAATGTTCATATAGCCCTACTCCAGCACCGCCACCTCTTCCTCCTGCACAATGGTGCGTTTCGAAAACATCCTTAGATGTGTCTGATGGCCAGAAGGATACATCTGCTCATTCAAAGCAAGTGGAACCAGTCTGCTCGCAGCAAGCGCCCAATGCAAACAAGTCAAATGGCAAGGTAAATAGTACTTTACTTTGGTTTTTTTTTTTTTGACAACAAACAAAAAGCCAGCCGAAATGATTTAAGATGTGGGAAACCATAATTGCTTATGCATTGATTGTTGAATGTAGAAGCCAAAACAAGTGATAGTGGATGGTCAGAAAGAACTAAACCACATTGGAAATGACAAAGTGATGGATTCTAGGGAAGATTTCCTGCAACAAATTAGAGCAAAAGTAAGCAACTTCCTTGCGTTTTTGTTGAAAATTAGTTTCCCCTTGTTGATTTGGTTTGGCTGGATATTGAATTACCCTAATGCAATGTAGGCTATCATGTTCATGGTTAAACACCATAAAATTTTAAAGTACATATCATGGTTTCCTTTGATGAAATGAGTTAGAACTAACATAGTTCTTGTTATTAACCATTCTCGACCATGTTATCCCCAGTCATTCAACCTACGGCGCACAGTGACTGAGAAGCCCTGTACTCAAACTGGACCTGCTACCCACATCAAAGTCACAGCAATTTTGGAGAAAGCCAACTCAATCCGCCAGGTTCTTCACTGTCTTTGTTTTCCTACTCTGCACTATAATATCATTATACATAAAGGACTCGTGGTAACCATTGAGAAATTTCTCAGGCTGTTGGAAGTGACAATGGTGAAGACGACGATTCATGGAGCGATGCCTAATTGTAGATATGAAACCAAATTTTAGGCGTTGGAAAATCTGTCTGAACATACTCGCAGCAAGCAATACAGCCAGCGCACACAAAAAGCCGGAAAATGCTTGTAAATTGGATTCTTTTAGCTTTTTAATCTTGCCCCTTCGTCTTCCCAGTCAAGATTTCATCTGTTCATGATCCTGAAACAAAAACGTTTCCATCAATCTACACGAAAATAAACAAATAAACAAAGAGTTGCCTTCCATGTAGGTTGCTAATTTCCCCAGTGATCTATTAAAGAATATAAAGTTCCTTTAAAGTCTTCAAAGAATCATTCAAACAAATATTTGGGTCAATTCTGCAGAAAAGGATCAAAAAATATACAGAATTTGATTGCGTGGATTGGCCAATGGATTGACCAAGAAAGAGCAGCATTTGTGTAAGCGAAGCCAGTCTGGATTATACTCTGTATCCCATTCATAGATATGATCTGTTACTTATATTTCTGCCATTCCAATCCATGTGATAATACACAATCTTCTATTTTGTAGATTCTTAAATTTACTTTACAAAAATTCTTTTTCAATAATTTTCTGAAGGAAATAAAATAAAATAAAATAAAATAAAAGGGTATTGTGTTTTTTAGTAATGAGAGGCCAGCTATTATCCACATGGAACTTAAACCAACAGCTAACTCTATCAAAATATAGGTTTTATTATAAACTTTTGTTGCGCAATTAAAAGGTAATTACTTAATCAATTCATTAGTTATTTAATTATTATGGGGTTTTATATTTAGAGTGAGAGCCAAACCTCCCAACTTGCAGCACTGATTGGAATATGCTATGAATTAAAGAATATTTAACCAAATAAATAAAGGGAAAGAAAGACTTGGTTTTGTCGCTTAAAATAAGCAAAGTTGGGGTCAAACAAAAAGCTAAGCATCACCCAACATGGGATCATTTTATTATTCAATTTTCCTATTCCATTTCATTTTTTCTCGTTCAAGTATTTAAATTTCAAATTGAAAAGACGATCATAAATCAAAATAAAATTGACACCCACAAACGATATCGATATCGTATCATACAATATGATTAAATCTCTAATTTTAAAATTTTAAAACGAAAAAAAAAAAAACAAAAAAAAGGGCTTTGTCCATACATTATATTAGTAGGAAAAAGGTGTTTGAGAAAAGAGGGTTACTTTCATATTAAGTATATATATTATATATAAAAGATTACTTTATTAAAGAAAATCCCCAATTTCCAATTTTCGTTTTTTCCTTTTCTAATCCATTTATCAAAAGCTGTTTTGAACACTTTTTTAAAATAATAATTATAATAAACTTCAAAGTTTAGCCACCAAATGCATGCATTAAAAACTAAGGCAAAAGGTATGAGTTTTAATGCAAAAAAGGAAACCCAATATCCAATTTAAGTTTATTCAATAAACTCTTTTAGATCCAATATAATTTTGGAATCTATATATATATTGAAAATTTGGATAGAGACCCACCATTAAAGTATTTCCCTTTATTAAAAAGTAATCAACTTTATAACTAAATCATACGTAATTTCTGATTCTACAATGCTTATGCATATATATAAAAAGAATATATTAAATTTATAATAAGGTTTTGGCTTAATTAGGCTTTATGTTTGGAAGAAATAAAAGTATGGAATAATGAAAAATATAAGTACCCTATCTATAAGGCTACCAACAGTGATGTATAAACCTTTGAAGGCATCTGTCCCTCGTTTTATAATTATTTATTCTTTCATATTGTCTTTTCAAACAAGTTGATTTTATTAATATAATAAAATGTTATTAATTATTATAAGAAAGATAACTAATTAATAATCTCTGGAAATCTTAATCCCAATTTCCACGAGATCCAGTTCACATATTACACGACAAAATCATTTTATTTCAACTTTCTTCATTCATTCATTAATTAATTAATTTCTTTTTTTTTTTTTCTTTTGTGTTGGAGAGTTGAGGGAGAGAGGTGGACTTTTATATTCACTTCAATCCCCTCTCTCTCATTTGACTACCATCAAATAATCCCTTAATTTTTTTTATTTTTATTTGGGTATTTGTAAAATATCATTGCATGTAACCGAGTGTCACGAACAAATTTGATAATCATCGAAAAATATTACAAAATATAGATCGAAAAGAAAAAATCAAATTTTGATCGGGAGATAATAAATATAAGTAAATTATTATTAGGATAATACTCGTAATGGTTTATTTAGCTCGATAAAACTATAAAATTAAAAAAAAATAAAAGTATACTTTTTTTTTTTAATTATTATATAAAAAAAAATGAAATAGATGATAATAATGATGTAGTGAAGTAATGATGTGTACAAAAAGCTCATCTTCAGCTTTTCTTTTCCATCCCACCAACCTCTCTTATTGGCGGCTTTTGTTCTTTCAATTTCAAGTTTCCATTATTATTATTATTATTTTTTTTTTTTTTTTTTT